CCCAACATGTTAGATAAATGGAATTTTACAGTAGGCAATAATCATCAGTGGCTGCTAACATCACAAAAAACAGTGATGCCCAGACTTTATGTGCCTCCTGATGGAAATATCCAGAACCACCTATGAAGGATTCTTGCCCAAAAAAAACAAACTTGAATCTGATCAAGCCTCAAGATCTAACTACCAGTTTATATAAAATACAGGTCAAAACACTAAACAACACCACAGAGATACAATTAGGAAAAAAAAAATCCAGGGGCCGGCCCCGTGGCTTGGTGGTTAAGTGAGCGCGCTCCACTGCTGGCGACCCGGGTTCGGATCCCGGGCTCGCACCGACGTGCTGCTTCTCCGGCCATGCTGAGGCCGCGTCCCACATACAGCAACTAGAAGGATGTGCAGCTATGACACACAACTATCTACTGGGGCTTTGGGGGGTAAAAATAAATAAATAAAATCTTTAAAAAAAAAAAAAAATCCAGACTGTAAATACTATTGGACAAACAACCTTGTTTCTTCAACAAAAAACTATAAGGAAAAAAAGGAGAGAGAGGAATGAGAATCTTAGATTCAAAATGTCTTAAGAGATGTTAACTATTTTAATGTGTAAATCTTATTTGGATCTTGATTCAAAGAAACCATAAAAGAAGAATACGAAACAATTGAGGAAATTTAAACACTAATTGCTTAGTTAATGATATTAACAAATTATTTTAGTTGTGATGATAGAACTGTGGTTGTTTTTTAAGTCTTTTTTTTAATTAAACTTTTTGTTTTGAGATAACTGTAGATTCACATGCAGTTGTAAGAAATGATACAACGAGATTCCTCATACCCTTCACCCAGTTCCCACAATGGTAACATCTTACAAAACTGAAGTATGACATCACAGCCAAGATGTTAACATTAACACATTAACATTGATACAGAACAGTTCCACTGCTTCAGGTTCCCTCATGTTGCCTTTTCCAGCCATACCCACTTCCCTCCCAGCAACACTCCCATCTCTAGCACCCCCACGCCCCTGGCAACCACAACCACAAATATGTTCTCCAATTTATAATTTTGTCATTTCAAAAATGTTAGATAAATGGAATCATACCCTATGCAATCTTGGGGGACTGGTTTTTTACAGTCAGCATAATTATCTGAAGATTCACCCAGGTTGCTAAGCATATCAATAGTTGGTTCTTTTGGATTGCTAAGTAGTATTCTGTGGGAAGGATATAGCATGGAATACTTTTGTTTGTTTATCCATCCACCCTCTGAAGGACAAATGCGTTGTTTCCATTTGGGCTGTTATGAATAAAGCTGCTATAAACATTTGTGTAGGGCCCTTACCTTTTAAAGACACATACTTAAATATTTACGGATGAGAGAATATGATGTCCAGGATTTGCTTCCCAAAAATTCCAGATTGGGTAAGATACCAAAAAAATAAGATCGGCCATGAGTTTGTAAGTGCATTACACTATTATCTCTACTTTTGTATATGTTTATAATTTTCTATAATATAAAGTTTAAAAAAAAGAAGACAGTAAGAAGAAATTACTTATCTGACCACTACACACTCACATACATAAACACACACATCTTCAAGTAAAATTAAAGGCTTTTTTTATCTTACGATTTTAGCCCGAGATCACAGGAGTTCTTTACCTAAAATAGAGACCCCACACCTCCCAGTGATCATTATTTACCATTCACTCCACCAATTTAGGCAGATCCAAGCAGCCGTCTGTGAACTCTCTTTCGGAAGTTCTTCATTGGGCTGCAGGGTTGAGGTAACAGGTGCTCCCTAACGTTGGACAAAAGCAGCTCCGCAATCATCCTAATCAACTGCATGAGATTCACGAGTGGCTAGTCTTCAAAGCAGAGGGCTCGTGTCTGACACGAGCAGGTCCTTATCATCAAGACAAATGCTGAGAGAACAGAAGGGTGATTACTAAAGATGAAGGGCAACAAACTGTATGAGCACAATCACGCCTGAAAATGAAGTGAAATGTGCTTTATATTATGCGAAGGCTGCTTTTGTTTGTAAGCCACTCTGGAGGACAGGATGTTGTTATCATGTTCAGTCTGCAAGCTAACAGTTCTTTAGTATAATACCGCAAAACGGTATCTACTGTTTGGTACCACCAATACTCTATCAGCCCATTCTCCCTTCGTGCTCTATCACACCCTCCCCTTCACCCCACTATTTTTTCTCCACATGGGGCCTTACCAAAAAGAAGACCCACCCTCTCAAAGATCTCCAGCAAAGAAGAGCACATGAATACCAACCCATGAACTAATCCGGGATGAAAAGCCAAGATCTCTGAAGGAAATATTCATGAGGACTTTCAAATGCAAGTAGTGCAATGGCAACAAATGGGTTTCCATTGCCAGGTCCTTAATGCCTGAACATGCACAGCAATGAGCAATTCTAAAGCTTAATTAAATAAAGTGTGTTATCAAAAGTAGGATAGCTGTCCACTGATCAATTCCAATAAGACAAATCCAAAGGGACATCTAAATGTTTAGTTGTGTTGTAGCTTGGTTATGTCAAATATCCCTCCTATTAAATGGGCCCCACACTTGGTGTTAGAAATAGTAATGCTGGGGCTGGCCCCGTGGCCTATTGGTTAAGTTTGGCATGCTCTGCTCCAGGAGCCCAGGTTCAGTTTCCAGGCGTGGACCTACACCACTCATCGGTGGCCATGTTGTGGCAGCAACTCACTTACAAAATAAAGGAAGATTGGCACAGATGTTAGCTCAGGGCGAATCTTCCTCAAGCAAAAAGAGGAAGATTGGTAACAGACATTAGGTCAGGGAAATCTTCCTCAGGAAAAAAAAAAAAATAGTAATGCTTATTGTGATAGGATTTGGTCATTACTACTACACTACAATAGGTAGGAAAAAGATGGTCCACTAATAGCCTGTCTATATGACACTGAAATGCCTATAAATTGAAAGATATTAGTCAATTCCATTAAAAACAATCAGTATACAGATTAGTTCATTTGGTTGGTTTAGCAACTTAGGAGTTCTATCAATGGAAATAAATCTACTCGCAACATCATATTAGGAAACTAAGAAAATACAGCTGAGTTCAAAATTTTCTTCATATGTCATGAATCAGAACAGAGATATACGGAATTAAAATCCAAAACAACATAGACCACCAGGAACTGTGCTATAGGCTTGCATTAAGGAGATTAATAATAGGGCTGCTAGTGACAGAAAAGGGAAAGGATAAGAATGGGCTCAGGAGCATAATGAAAAATGTAATTGAGAAGGAGCAGAGAAAAAGGCACTAAAATTAAATACACTTATATTTTTGGATGCTCTCTTCCTCTACCTTTGCCATCTTCCTTTACTCTTAGAACCAAACATTTTCCGGGGCCTGTGGATTCTGACACTACAGTACACATTTCTGGACAGCTTGTGGTGAATTACAAGACATCTGAAGTTGAAAGTCTCAGCACTCACCTTGACACACTTAAAGGTTAATCTAAAATATTTTGCATAAAATAAAATGCTCTTGCCAAAAATCTTGATGGCTGATTTGCTTATACCTCTCATTATCCTTCTTCATAGCAACCACCCATGCCTGGTCTACAGAACTAAAGCTCCAGAGAGGGCCGTTTTTGTGAGCTGAAGTGGTTTCAGAGAAAGGAACATAGGAGAGAACAAGTAGGAAAAAAGCAAACAGAACAAAAAGGGAAGGCATTAAACCTAGAAAGAACTCCAAGAACAAACTGCACAAGATGGGTTCAGGAAATGAATAGCTGTGTAGAGGCGAGGAGTACAAGAGAAGCTTGAAAGGGCAGGTTGGAGCCAGGAAGTGGCAGCCACTGAAGCCCAGAGGAGGCACTTGGACCACAAGCCATAGGCCCTTGGGGAGCTATTGCAGCTTTGCACATGGTTGGGACAGGTGCAGTGGTGATTAAGAAGATGTGACCAATGGTAAGGGGCAGGGAGGAAAGGAGCAGAAGACCAGAGGTAGGAGGCTTTACTAATTGTTCCAGGTGAGGCCATAGGGCTGGATCTAGGAGGGTGAAAGTGGGAGGGGAAAGGAAAGGACTAATCTGAGGAGCAGTGTGAAAGACACATATGCTCAAACCTAGTTTTGTCCTCAATTAAAACCTAGAAAATAGTCATTTGCAGTCATTGTCAAAGGACCACTTAAGAGATGCTAAGGATTCTTATGTTGATTGGGAGGTAAACTGTCATTAATATGATCAAACACATAAGAGGGCATAAAAATTCTAATGGCTGATAAAGTCATTTTTAAAGGAAGCTTTGATTAAGCTTAACAGAGGCTGAGAAAAAATAAGATTTTTGATATAAGTAAAAAATATTTTTAAGGAGACCGTGATTGGTTGCAAGGTGATGAGTATTTTTAAATTTCTAAACTAATTAACTGCTGATTTTAGCAAGGTAGTAATAATGACTTGATTGACAGATCAATTTTCTCCACTTTTTCAGATCACTATTACAAACCGATTATTAATCAAAAGTTAGTTTTTTTTGCAAATGTACCTACAAGTAAAATCCCAAAACATTACAGGTAACACAAGCTAAATCACCTATTTCTTAGTGTATATGCCCACTTAGTTTCTATTCTCATTTACTTAATGCCTTTTTATTGAGCGCCTAGTATACAATAAGTATTGTGCTGGTTCTGGGTGTACAATGAAGAGTAAAACAGATACAGTCTCTCCACAAGGAAGCACACAGTATAGTGGAGAAGACAGACATTAATTAAAAAAAAATCAAAGTATATAATTTAAAATTGTGATAAGCACTATGAAAGACAATTACAAGGTGCTATGAGAGCTTATAACAGGGAGGCTAAACCGAGCCTGGGTTTGGGACAGTGTTTAAAGGAAACTGTCTTTGAGCCGAAATCTATAAGGATGCAGAGGAGTGAAATAGGAAAAAGAGTAGGGGAGAGAGAAGTAGAAGAAAAGATGAGCAGAGGGAAAGAATCACGTATAATAAAACAAAAACATTCTAACCTGTTGGGTGATAGTGCCCCACGGTCCCTGCAGCAGCCGAGTCTTATAGCAGTCATGGACTCCTTCCCATACGTCCTTCAGGGCTAAAGGTCTTCCATCTGGGAACGTGCATGGCAAAGACTGTCAGTCAGTAATCCACGTGACACAACGGTGCTTGCTGTCTATCTAAAACTACTGGAAGAACACTATGATTTTTTAAAAAATTGTTACTGGTATACATACTATTTATATATCCAAAGAGTGCTATATGAATTACTATTTTCTTCCTGAGGGAAACTTAAACATTCAAGCTTCTCTTCTTTGTAACTATCTAGCAGTTAAATTATCTGCTCATTCATTGCAGATGAAAATTCTAGGAATTTGACAAAATAAATAAAATCCAAATGTGTTTTAGAGAGAACTGATAGATACAAGCGTGGGCAAAGGACCAGATAGACAGACTCCCATTTTCACAGGCATGCACTATGGATACATCTGAAGTCTTCATACTTCCTCTAGTCCTTAAATCAGAGACCATGCACACGCTTCTTTCACTCTCTCACTGACTGAATATCTGTAATGTCAAAATCACTCTGTTGGGTACCACAGGGAATAGAGAGAAGGAAAACACACAATTTCTCCTAGTAAGGAGCCTACCATCTTACTAGGGAAACCATGATGAGTATATCAACAGCATATCAATAACTAAAATACTAGGTAGAAAGTGGTCGCTGCCGGAGGAAAACCGCAGTTCTCTGATGGTCCAGAGGAGGGAGACATGAACACCCAGAGTCGGTGGCAGGTGGAGTAAGGGGATTGTTGGGGCAGAGGGACGTGAGAAGGGGTTGGCATGAAGACGCTAGTGAAAGTTTTAATGAACAACAATTCTCCTTTTCTTTGTTTAAACAGCTTCAATTAATCACCTATTTTCTTAATCACTCAAATAATGTATTTTATGAAGACCGCTATGTCACAAGGTAAGTGGAGAAATAGATATCTAAGTTCAGAAAAGAAAGGAGAAAGAGGGAATTAGCTAAAGACTGTCAAACTACACACTGCTGGAAAGAAAGTAGTCTAACTGCTAGAATCTAGTGCTACTTGGCCCATTCAGAGCTATCAAGTCCTCAAGACTTATGAGTGTGCTCATTTCCTGAGGCAAGTGGACAATATTATTTAAAGAAAACTCATCAGCATATTAAATCAATAGATCCCAAGATGTATTTGATCATCAGGTGCAACAAAACTTGAGGAAATAATCTACTCAAAACCCCCCAACACCAAAAGGTATTGCAAGCAGACTTATGGACTATAAGCAGAGATGTGGGGTGTAGGAGATGGGCACTAGATTTGGAGTCTGGGCTGAGCAGGAATCCTGGTGTTGGCACTTACTCTCTATGTGACTTGCAGTCGCAAGTTATTTTGCTTTTAACTTTACCTATAAAATGAGGTTAATAATCCTTTTCAAATCCTCTTCTCGTGAGCAGGCTTCCATCAGTGAACACACCCAGTACTGTGTCAGGCACACAGTAAGAGCTTAATATACGTAGGTATCTCCTCCCAGCCCCCATTGCACCATTCCAGTAATTCTCATACTGCAAAGCTAAAAGATTCATTTAGAGACCATTATTTCTTAGAATTTTCTCATGTTTCTACACCATGCACATTGTGTTTGATATAGTAATATACTAACACCATAGGCAGGGCATTTCTCATGTTTGACCTGAAAAGTTGAACTTTTCCTCAACCTTTATTTTCAATAAATAGCAATAGAATATTTTGATACATTTTCAATAAGCATCTTCATCTTGGCATTTATCTGGCGGCAGGAGACCATTATCTTGTGATAAATAGTTTTATTCCATTGACATTTCCATGTCTGTAAAATGAACAAGATTTATTCATCCAATTAACATTTGAATGTCATGTTTAGCTACAAGTTAAAAACAAGCTGCCTTCAGTGTCTGTGTTATATTGTTTTCTGAATACATTTACAGAGTAGGGGCCAAACTTTACCCTTAAGATAAGCACTACACATCTTCAAAATAGGCACGTGCACATGTATGTGTGTGTGTGTGTACTGATGTTGGAAGAGGGGAATAGGATCTTAAGTACTTCAGTGTGAAAGAGTAAACTAAACAATCAAATTATAAAAAGATGACATGCTTTTAAAATACTTTTCAGATGTCAAAGTTAGAAGAAATCAAGTTGTAGGGTAGTAAAATATTAGAACTGGTATAATTAGTAATTTTATAAATAAGGGAAACAAGGTCATGGGAAATACACATCTGCCAAAATTACGCAGCCAGTTCACGACTGCACTGGAGCTGGACTTCAAGTCTCAGGACTCAGCTCAGCGCTCTTCCTCGCTGCATCTGAGGGCGGAGGCCGCGTCTATCCTTTCACCTCTGCAGTCCTGCTGTGTAGTTCTAAGCCTCACTCACACAACGCAAATGCTTTATAATATTCCCTGAATGAATGATAAATAAAAGAATGCCTTCCTTAACTGTTTTTCCTCTAAGACAGAGAAAGGCTTTTGCAGAGCTAAAGAATGCTGGGTTTAATATCTGGTAATCAGTCATGATTTTAATTTTATTCCTTAAAATATTTCAGTCAACAATCTAAGGATGGAGTAAATGGTTTGGATATTACCACTGTCAAAAACCTGCATGCTATGCTGGAAACATTCATAAAAAATGCAATAATCAGAAGCCTCGCAACAATGTGGAGAGATCCAGGACAAACGTTATAGAATATTTTTATCAGATTTGAGGCTAGAATTGAGGGTATGTGCCAAAAGTTTTCAGACAACACCAAATTTAGAGGAAAAAAAATTAACACCTTAGAATACAGGAATTAAAAAATGATCTGGTCAACCTAGAATAACAATCACAAGGAGTTAAAAATTAGTTCAAAACATAAAAAGATGCATGATACTCCTATATGCACGTTTATAAGAGTGTTACCCACTTGCTACAAAAAGAACTTGGTTTTTTAAGTGAATGGATGTGATTGCATTCTCTAACACATTTACAGAACTGTTTAAAAACACATGTATTAACGATGAATAAACGAATGTTTGTGCAAGCTACTTTTGATAAGAGCGTCAGTCTCTCCAGCGTCTGCTGACCATTTACACTATAGAAGATCCGGGTAATATAGCTTTGATTCTCACATATAGATATGACAATAGTACTTAATGAAGGATGATGTGGGTTCTTTTCCCTAAGCCTGCATCATCGGTTTGCCTTGTCACAGCTCACACCTTCACGATCAAAGACATAGAAAAGTTAGTTTTGTGATCTTCTATACAAAAACAAAACATTTTGACATAATCAGCAATATCTTCAAAACCATCCCATACACTATTGATGCCTAAAATATATTCAAATATGATTGTGACTCTAATTCTTCCAAAAACAAAATGAAGCCTTCAGAAATCCCACTGAAATCACTGAACTGAGACAGTCAAACACATAAGGAACCACATCATAGAAACAGAGCTTAAATATGGCAGAAACTTGAAGAACTTTGTGATTTTGTATATATCTATCTATTTATGAAAACTGAAGACCCAAAACTTTAACTTAAAATTAAAATGTGGGCTTAACAAATACCTGGTTAAGCTCACGAAACGCATTATTATGTGCCTTCATGTTCAGTTGAAGGCATGTTCAATCAGGAACTTGAAGCCCCGTTAAGAAGGTCTATTTTTTCTGTCTGGCCTCAGTCAGAGGAGATATAAGCATACTCAATCAACAACTCCCTAGTTTCAGACCCAAGATATTCGATAGCACCAATTTTAACATGCTTAGAAATCTCATTAATCACACCGAGCCTGAGAAGCTCAGTAAAATCCCTTGCATGCTTGAAAAATTGATGGAGAAGCCGAAATAATTTCAGCAGCAACCCACAAAGTGAGCACAGTAAATTAAGGTCATTTATTTACCACGTGCTTATTGAGTGCCTACTACGTGCACTCAGAGTGGGATGATGTTACCTCAGTTGATAAAACACATCTGAGCTAAAGGAATATTCTGTCAGCAACCTAAAGTGTCAGTGACAGAAGAGGAAGAGACATTGGATGAAAAATAGAATAATTAAAAAGTACAATCTTTAGCAACTGCCAGTAGCATTTAATTTAACATTTTCATATAAAATCTCTCAATTGAATAATAACCTACATGTCAAGTAATCTATATATTACTCAAAATGTGCAGCTTTCTAAATTAAATTTCTCAGGGCTATTAGTTTCCATGAATCAAATAACAGCATGAGATATTCCGCTAGCACTACCTAGCTCTAGTGCAAGCACGCACAAGTCACCTTTGTCCTATTGTGCATGGTTTCACTACAATCTCATGACTCTCAAAATGAAGATTAGAGAGAGTATAAATTGTTTAGACTAAACTTAAGAATAACGCTTTCAATGTGGTCACTAGAAATAAAAAGGAAAGAGTGGATTTTTCATGATGAAGTATGTCAGTATTCAATATATTGTCTTCAAGAGAACTTTCAGGGATATAAAAATTCATGTCACACAATAAGGCAGAGATGATGCTCCACCAAAGGGGAAAATTCATTTTTGCTTCAGTGACAAAATTATATTGTGATATGAAATGAGTGTTAATTGTTCATGTACATTCATATCAGCTACTATACTGGCTAATTCTGTAACTTTTATTTATCCCTACACACATTTTTAGCATTTTGTATCTTTATTAATCTCAGGAAATCTGAATGAAAATTCCAAAAATACAAATTGTGGCAACTTATTTTTACTTACATATGGCACCAATTAATTAATTTCACTTAGATGTTTCTTAAATGTTGGTTGTCATTTGAATGACAGCGTTGTGCAGTAAAAAAACAGGCTATAGAGTTTGTCTCAACTCCTTAGTTTTCGTGTACCCTTGAATAAATCATTTAACCCCTCTGGGCACTCAGTTTTTATGTCTGTGCATGAAGATAACAGTTTCTGCCTTACAATGTTACTGTGAGGATCAAGATACAAAACTCAGCTGGCATTACTGAAAGGCATTATGTGCCAGGCCCCATTTCATACATTAGCCCACAATCTTCAAAACTCTATGAAGTCAGTATTATTATTATTATTACTGTC